TACGATTTTTCCTTCAGTACTCTCCATCTCTTGATTTTATGGGCAAACATGTCTGAAGCCAGGGTTATGTCCAAAACTTCCTCTCTACTCTTTGTTATGAAGGTCGGCTCTGAGCCTAAATTCAAGACACTAAGTTTGTTCCCTAGAATGAAGTCTAGTAACGACTCACCTCTAGCATTCGTGTCCGTACTCCCCCACATCAAGTTGTGGGCATTAGCGTCGCAGGAGGCAACCAGTGGTTTGTTCTTGAAGGCTGCTTCCTCGGCCAAGGTCCGAAACCCGTCTGGTGGCACGTCCTTGTCATGGGCCATGTAGGCAGAGGCTACCCAAAAGCTGGTTTTGTCCAGCTCAATGCTTGCCACTACCAGATCGCCGTCACTAAGTGTGGGAGCAGGAAATGTTTAAGTTGTTCCTTGCTAATATGCAAGCTCGAGTCTTACCTGCATTTTGTGCGGCAATAAGCTTAAAGCCCTTCATCCCAAGTCCGCAGATTTTATTGCCGTGTATCCACGGTTCCTGGATGAGGGCAACGTCGAGTCCACCGGCAGCCAGGCGGACCTCAAGGTTCGCAGACGCGAGTTTAGAGTGGTGGAGGTTGATCTGGATCAGCTTCATCAGAATCTGTCCGTTTTACCTCCACCATCGTGACATCCACGTCCGCCTCTTCGATCTCCTCACCCTCGGTGTCATCGGCGAGGAGGTCTTCTTCATAAAATAATGGCCCCAATCCGGATAGCCTCTCCGAGTCAGATGAGCATTGGCTGCTGGGCAACCCTTCTTCACCACCGCTGCGCAGGCCGGACTTGTCGCTCTCCTCACTAAGGTCCAAGCTCGGCTCGTCGCTGCGGTAGATTCGAATGGTTGCGTCATTGAACCGAATCTCACCGTCCAATCCTTTTGCGCCAGTGGGGCTAGCGATTCGGCGTTGAGGATCAGCAACACCTGCCTTCTATTCTCTACTGGCTCCTCTATCTTCCCTACCCTCCAATTATGACTTGGCAGGTCCTTATTACAGGATCTGAAGATCCGCTCAATTCTTTCAGGCTCGGCGGGTCTGGCCGGAATCCAAACTCGAGCCCTCGGTCTGCTAGGAATGTCTTCCTTGTTGACGGCCTCGAGCTTGGCTCCCGGCAAACTTCACCTACCTTACTAACGGCCAACCTATAGAGCTGGGCTGACCTATGGTCCTCGCAGGCGATGAGTTTAGCTCTACCCTGATACCATCCGGAATCATGGCAGAGAGGAGGAGGTCCAGGATTTTCGTCTAGGACTTGGAGGTAGATTTCGGCAATCGCTTCCTCCACCAACCTCCACTTCTCTTTGGGGATAGTCCCTTCCTCCTCCCCTCTGTCGATGATTGCCAGTACCTCACCGCCTCCCTTCACTACGTCCCTGAAAGTGGGGTATTTATGGCCACCTGTTCTTGGTCTTTTGGTGACCCCACCCCCTCCTGTTCAGCAGACCGCTGCCTTTTTGGAGCAGCGCCTGCCGGTCTTCCCAAGCTGGCTACTACTCCCCTCGCCCACTCCAGTGACCTAACCTGCTCCTCCGTGAGCTGCTCTGTCGGCAGGTCCCCGATCTTGTTCACGACCCTCATGGCCGCCTTTTTGTCATAATAGGCCTGCTTCGAGGGGCGGACATGTTTAGCCGACCCCCAGGCCTGTGTTTGAACTTTCCTCGAGCTGCTCGGAATGTCGGCGTGCATCCTGCCGGGTTATTTTCGAAGCAGGTGCCGACCCCGCCCTTGGGTTGAGGTGTGTGTGGATTGGGGTCTGACTTCCCTAGGCGGAGCTGACGCTGCAGCTCCAGCCATGAATCGGTTGGAGACCGGTTTGCCCAAGCCTCCACTCCCCCCTCTGCCTCCTATGGTACTCGTACCAGGACCAGCCCTACCGCTTAAGCCCCCTCTAACTCCTGTCACTGGCGGTCCGATAAATGCCCTGCTCGAGGCTGTAGCATTAATTGGAGCAGCCCCTGTCGGTTTTTTTGGAGGGCCGTCCTCCTTGTTGTGTTGTTTTTTTTTGTAATAAATTGCGCTCATAATTTTGGTCCCACGAGTGTCGGACAATGGAGGTCCGCCCGCACAGAGGTCCGTGTGCGCAGGTAAGGCTTGATAGAACCGGAGGTCGCCAGGTATCCGGAGCACCCCGTTCGAGACGGGCTATTTGTTAATCTGGGTCCCCAGCCAGGCTGAACATCAGCACGGGTCGTCTAACACCTTGTTCCAACCCAGAGCTTTTTTAGAGAGGTTTGCTCCTCCATTACCTCCATAGGCCACGATCAAAAACCATTTCCATATAACTTAGCTATTGAGGAGCTTAAGCACATAGCACTGATTTCTGATCTTAGCTGGACACCATTCTGACATCGTACAGAACCTAAATTGTAGTGGCCATTACCAGTCGGCACCCTCGTGGAGGGTTCAGCCGGAGGATTTTCGCCGACCGCATTTAGATCTAACTGTCATACTACTATTAATGGTAACCATGAATATTCATTAAAATCGTTTCAATTCTATTTATATTATATTATTTTATATTTTTTAATATAAACTACCTTTTTTAATTCTAAAATAAATCAACAATCTCAAGATTTATAAGAAAATTGTCTTCAAAAAATACGTCCCAAATCATCCCTGTTGATATCATAATTCAAATGCAAATTAGAATAGAAATTTTGATACAAAAGTTTTTCCGCGATATTCATCATACAAATTTATCATCTCACTTGTCCGTATGTCGCTCTGGAAAGAAATATATTTTAACTGATATGTTTTCTTGAAAATAAATGCAAATTTACCTATTTTTTTCCACCGGCAGGCACGAATATGATATTCAAAACAGAAGCAATGACAACGAATTTTACACACATTGTTGTATTTTAGCGCAAAACGATAAGTTTCACAAATATTTTAAATTATTGCCTGGAACATACACATTTAACGTTATTATTGGAAATGCAAGACTTGGCACGCATTTTTAATTTCTTTTTTATTGAATTCAAATGAATAAAAACACATTTTTCTAAAATATTTCTCAATTTATGTACATTTTAAAGTTTTTTCTGAAACTTGAATGTAACTCTGTGCGGAGAATGAGAGAATTGAAAATCAGGTGACCTCAGCTGTTTTCAAATGTAAACAAACAAAATGGCGCTTTCCATACCTGTAAGCCTATACAATGGTTTAGATCACTGACTGTAAATTTTGTAGTTGGAGAAATATATACAGAAATTAATGATATTTTGGTTTCAGTGAAAAACGTGACATCCGTCGTGCAAAGGCTTGTTGGCGTGCTGAAAAAGGTGTGTTGGATAGTTTTTTCTAATAAATATTCCAGTTCCCCCTTTTGCGAGTGTTGAATTAGTGTTAATTAAAATTGTATTATAGTTGTTCAAGTTGATTGAGTCGGATTTTAGGTGAGTTTCCTGAATAGCGATGATATCTGGATTATTGCGATGAATTAATAGCTGGAGTTCATGTAAATTATTTTGGTAACCATTCATATTCCATTGGAGAATACGTAGGACCATAAACTATTTATTACATATGCTGACTCTTATACCGATATATCCAGTATATCGGAAAGAGAAAAATGGATTAGTTTTCTATCATCGTTTCTCTTTATCGTTGACGGGGCTTGGCAAAGTACGAGAGTGATTTAGTGCAGGAGAGGGGTTCGGGTTGTTATTTACTCTGTCTATTTGTATTTGTTGGTTTATGTTGATTGATTTTTGTAGCAAAGAATTTGTTTGTGATTGCTTCTTGTGTTTTGTATTTCCTTATTACTTCAATTCGTTTATTTCTTTTTTCTATTGCTTCCTTTAAATTCTCTTTTGGGATATTGACAATTTCGCGTATTTTTTTACACTGGGGCATTCCTTGTGAAGAGCGTTCTATTCATGTTGACAATTAACACATTGTATTTTTTCACATGGAGTAGGGTCGTGTAGGCTTCCGGCGCATACTTCGCATTTCTGTTCATTTTTGCAATATTTTTGCGTGTGTCCAAGTTTAAAGCATTTTTTAAACTGTATGGGCGAGGGAATGTAGGGGTCGATTTTGAAGTTAAGAAAGCCAATTTTTTTGGCAAATCGTAGAGGCTGAAAGATATGATGTGTAGAGATGTGTTAACTATTGTGCCGTCAAAAAATTTTGTAATTTTTTTCACTTCTACCACAAATTGGTCTCGAGGGCCTTAGACGATTTCTTCTGTTGAGATGTTCTTTACTGGAGGAGCAAAAATTACACCCCTTATTGTGTTCAGTGTTGGGTGCAACATTGAACTAATTGGACATACATATGTTCGACAAATTTGTGGCTTTTAAGAAACGATTGGTTTGTGAAGAATTTTTCGTTAAGATTAGTAGATCTCTGTCGCGTGTAAATTAAATGTTAATTGGGGTCTCACAGCGTATACTTTCAATTGCTTTCGACACCAGAAAGATGTTAAAGCTTTGAAGTGGCTTGTTTTCTATTTTACTCTTTATCAATACATATGTATTTCGGGCAATACCCTCTAGTACCGAGCACTAGTGAGGCACTAGTGAATTCACTCGCTACCGGTAACCACCACTAGCTACCCGCCAGATTACCAGCAATGCAATTTACCCATGAATTTAACATGGGGATGTCAAAGGCAGTCACCAATTTACACCTACTAGATTACCATTCATCAGCTATCTCACTAGTTACCATTAGCTTCCATTCAGAAGTTAACTCACTAACTACAATTCACCACCTATCTCACTACCTACTATTAAGTTCCACTCATGAACTGCTTCACTAGCTACCATTCATTTATTTGACGAACATTTAAAAAGAGAAAAAAAAAAGAACAGAAATAAGATGAGCCATTTTCGACGTATCTCGAAATCCTGAGCTATTATTCAGCCGAATTCTGATTCAACATCGAAATACATTACATATGTACATATGTATGTCGAAAATGACTGCTCACATTTCTGTTGCTCCTTGTTGGTCTGTGTAATATAAATTAAATTTATTTTTGGTGGTTATTTTGGCTTATACATTTTGCCTTTATGAATCTATTTTTTTGCAACTGTATTGCCTTCCGTAACTGTTTCTCAGCCGGGCCTAAGTTGTTGCCAATTGGAATTGATTCTGAAAATGAGAAAAATCAATTTAGAATCGTTTTTGGATTGGATAAGTACCTAAAAGTTTAAACAGACGGTAGCGTTGATCCGGATTAACTCGGAAATAATCCGGATCAACTGCAGTTAATCCGAGTTAATTCGGTCAACGCTGCCATCTGTTTAAGCTTTAATTCAATAAGAAATTCCATTGATTTACCTATCAGTGCATCGTAAAAGTTGTCTAGACCTTTTAGAGATTTTTTACCGTGAATTCCATCAACGTTATATTCCTGCATCAACGTGTCGGACAATATAAATTTTAAATTTCTAATAACCCCTGCTGGTTGCAGAAGAGACTTCATAGACTTAACCTGATAGTTAAAGAGAAATTAATTAACGAAATTAAGTTATTAAGTTCCGATTAATATTTTTATCGTATTACATAGAGTGCGCGGTTTTCCTTGTCTATCTTCGCATTCAGCTCCTCCAGTTGCTCAGCACTTAAAACCGGAAAGTTGATTGTGGGCGGTATTTCCTCCACCTGCTGACGGTGCAACTGATTCACAACGACCTTGATGTCAGCTATTGCTACAATAGCAACTTGGAGTTGATCTTAGACAAGATTTATACATATTAATAAGTACTTTTATTTAAACTTAAATAATATTAATGCATACTATATATACATATGTACAGTCAATCAATAAAGTTTAGGTACAGCAATTTTTTTGCAATACGGGCAACTGCTTTTTAATTATTTTATTTTCCGCATTTTTTTTTATAAAAATGTGGTTATCTCTGCAACATAAACCCCAAAAATCAGAGCTCCAAACCTTGCGCAAAATTAAAGGAAATTCAGCAAATTTTCATAAAATTATTGCACTCTTTAATTACACTCTTTTGAAAAAAGTTGAGTATGCAGTTTTTATCCCATTCAATTTTGGTATAATAAAGTTAGCTAGGACTTACCAATGATTTTTGACAAATTTTTTGTTGAAGGTGTCGCTCATTTTCTCTATATAAAAAAAATTTTCCAAAATCATTGGTAAGCCCTACCCTCTTCAGACTTGCACATTATTACACTAAAATTGAATGGGCTTAAAACTGCATGCTCTGTTTTTTATAAAGAATGTAATTAAAAAGTGTAATATTTTGGTGAAAATTTGCAGAATATTCTTTAATTGGAGCTCGCATTTTTGAAATTTGGATCGTAGAATCAACCATATTTTTTATACAAGATTAACAAAATATAAAATAATTAAAAAACAGTATGTGTATTTAAAGTACACTGATGCTCATAAGTGCGTGCCCTTACCTCTTAAAACTTTGTTCTCCTGCTGCATTGTCTCTGGAAAAAATACACAAAATGAATATATGATAAGTTAGTAGTTATTTTTTGTGTATATGCTTACAATGGCGAAAGAAATAATATAGATACCAAAAATCAGTGAATGTGCACACTGTGCAAAAAACGAACGTAAGTATAAATTTAACGAACATTCAGTCCAAATGGATTATGGCGCTCTGATATTTTGGTGTTATACTTTTGTTTGTATGTACCTTTCATTTCCTCAAACATATTTTCCATCTTCCTTTGAAAGGCTTCGCAGTTGCAGTTCTTTTCATGATCTAAAACAACAATTTTCACTTTTTAGAATAAACCTTAATTGGTAATATGTAGGCTCATATGTACCTTGGATATTGAAGTCCATACGTTTAAATTTTTTTGCGCTACTTCCATTCATATTTATATTAAAAGGTTAATATTGTTTTATGATGTATTCTGCTAATTATTAATTATTATTAATATAGTTATTATACTTTAGTCCCTCACCCCAAACTTACCCCACTTCATTATACAATAAGCATCCGAATCAATCCCAACCCCATTTAACCCTCTAATCCCACCACCCAAACTTACTACTTATCTAACTATTTCTCCCCCAACATTGGCACTAAAACTAAGTCATTCTTATAGGGTATTCCAACAACCTTACATTCAACGTCTAGTAGCGCAAAAGTTTCTTCTATGTCAATAGTTTCCAAGTCCACTAAATAAATGCCTATACTTCTTGAATCTAAGGGCACATGAAAAAAACTGCGAATGTTTTTAAATTGTCTACCTATTATGACACCACTTTGATCTAGTGATTGAATTAAAATTGGAATAGAGCCCTTAACGTAGCAATAATTGTTTGGACTCTTAGAACTTAATACAAAATCTTTAAAAATACAAATTTTACCTAGTAATTTTTGGCTGATCTTGGCCTAAAGGAAGTTGGGAAGATTCTTCCATAATTTTTCTAAAAATTTGTTCAAGTATTTTAGTGGGCTTTCGAACGAAACGCTTAAGACTTTGCAAATAATTCTCAAAAGCATAGCAAGAGCCTTTAATTGGGTCACCAACAACTTCTACAGTATCTTTTACGTGAAGTAAGCTGTGAACATTGTATGAAATACTATTATCGCCAAATACTACCGGAAAATTTTGTACAAATAGATTTAACATATTTTGAGCATTTTTTAAGTTTGAATCACGTCGCTTCGGACAACAAAGCAGTCTGTATGCGCAATGTAGGAGGAGGAATTGATAGTAGTAGTCGCCACATATCTCATCCTTAGGGCAATAACACCAGTGTACAAAAGGAACTGCCTGAATTCTGTGGCTTTCCAATTTAACAGTTCATCTAGTGATCGTGGTTTTCGAGCAAACTCTTTTGGAATATATGGACGCATTAACACCATTTTTTTGTTATTCTTTGATAATTTTATAGCCACTTTATTACTGAGTAATCTTAATAAACATTTTCGAACCACGCCTAATTCTATAAGGTGCATACAGTCCAAAGGAATTTGAGTCACCATTGACACGCCCAGCTTTTCAAACACTGATTTTTCATTCAAGTACTGCTCTGTATGATGCTTTACATATTTTCTCTTCGAAAAGTCCTCATTGCTTATTAACACTCCTGGGTTGGTACTATAAGTTAAAACCCCATCAACTTTTTTCGCTACTTGCGTGCACTTTGAGCACCCATTACGAGATGTGTGCCCAGGTGTGCCACTAATGAATGCCCGTGCTGGAGCGTCACAAACTATTGCACGAAGCTCAGCTTTAACGTTTTTGTTAGCTATTTGCAAACCATTTCTCATTACATCTACCAGATCATTAGAAAATTTCCGAAAAAAGTACTTCCAAATTATTTGGCTTTCTATTACCTAAAAACACGCCTATAGGAAAAACTGGAACATTTTCTAAATTATTTATTCTTCCTAAAATGAGCCAAAATTGGTCTTTGGCGCTTTTAAATAAAGGTAGCCCATGGACATTAATGTCAATACTAAGCGAAGGCGGAAATTCCAACACATTTAGTATTTTTTGTAATTGTTGGGATAATCCTACGTGGAGATATGAGCCACAAGCGACATTTGTGATGTCTGGTTTCGTAGAAAAATTTATTTTATAAAATGCATTTACATTTATTTGTTCCTCCCTTAAAATTTTCACCAAGTCCACAGCACAATCTCGCGAAGGCTTATGTTTATGGAACCACTTTCTTAATTTATCATTTAAACTGTGCTCATTTCGAACTTCCTCAAAATTTCTGTTTACATCATTAATCCTATTAAACAATTCCAGATTTTCTATATCCGGCACATTATTCTTTTTCGCTGATTCGGTTTTTTGCACAAATTCACAGTTTTCTGCGCGCCTAAACATCCCCAAATATTTGTCCCTCTCTGAACGCTGTAAGCGTTTTAAGTGCCTTTTGCTTATCATTTTCCCACTACTAATTTATTAGTTTTTAACAATTAATTATTATTATTACCAATATTTATTTCAATTTATTTTTTTCACCACCGAAACTGACACGTGACGCCAAGCACAAATAAATTGAAAACATTGTCGCTATAAAGTTCAATTCATGAATCAACAGTTGGAAAAAAGCAAAAAAAAAATAATAATACGACTGTTACCTAGGTAACTCAGCGAATGTTGAATACGACGCATCAGTGAGAAACTAGTGAATTCACCGGACCTACCAGATTACCTGTAATGCTGTTCATCACTTTACATGAGTTCCTAGAATACGCCACCCTAGTAAATTCACCAGCTACCTTTAATGAGTGAAATCACTAATTAAAATGGACTAATTGCTACCGACCGTACTAGAGGGTAGTTTTTGTTCACTTGAATTGTATTTGTATGCGTAATGGTTGGGAAGTCGAATTTATTGTTCAAGTCATCATTAGTGTTTCTTTTTCTTTTTTCAATGATTGCGATGTCAGGATCAGGGGCTGGGTCAAGCGATGCAAAGTAATTTCCTCCGGAGTTGGAGGCCATTGTTAATAAATACGCGATGTTACTTAGATGTCACTCACGAATATATAAGTAGTCACGTGGCACAATTTTATGCGACGAAAATCGAAGATAGTATACACGACTTCTTTCAATGATTGCAAGGTGTCGACTGCAGATGCAATTATTATATATGAACTAGATGTACCCTGCCACGCTTTGCTGTGGCATATTCGTGTTACATGGATGATAAATTATTAACGAAACAAAAGCATACGTTCATATGAGTTTGATTTTGTAATAAGTACTTGTGTGCACACAATATTTGTCGTGTTTCCATTCTGTGCATTGATATCAAGGATATCTGGTTTGCCGACACGGAAACACGCGATATCTAAGAACTAATCCGCATCTCAATCTAAACAACACTTTTCCAAAGGATACCCTTGAGCATTATTGATTGTGATTCGGAATGCAAATCGAATTGGAAATTGCAATCTTTTAAATCGAAATGGTGTATCGACTGGAATCATGGAATTCTTCACCTTTGAAAGGCTACGTAAAAAGCTTTACTTACACTACGTTCGTCATCAATTTGTTAACTGCGAGTCGCGTACCGTTGCGGAGTTTTGGCTGATTAATATTCCGCAACGTGATAATTGCCACACCTATTTTCAATTCAGTATGTGGGGTCATCCCTGGAAGATCAATCGAGTTCAAAAATTCCGCTGGATAATTAACTGATTCGTCTTCTTCCACAACGGAGTTTATCGACGTATATGATATTGTTTAAGCGACTGCATGCGAAATTCGAGCATGAGAAATAAAAGTGGAACGATTGAAACGTGCATTTCCCTCTTGCGCAAGAAGTCAACACAGATTGCGCACGATCCAGCCACGCGATTGAAAAGCAAAAAAATATATTTTTGTAACGCAAATAATTTCATTGTATAGTTTAATGTTTCTTAAATTTGCACCCAAAAAATGTTTTCATTCGGACACTTACTTTCAAAGAAAAATAAAAATTTCCAAAACACTACAAAAATTTTCAAAAACTATTTGGAATTTTGCAACAAAAATTACACAGGCTGCGTTTCTTTATACATTCCGGATAATCCCATTTCACAGCCGGAATAAACAGAATGCGTTTGAAATATACGTCAACATATCATCAGGCACGTTCTAAAGAATAAATAAACAGAAAAGTTTATTCCAAACGTTCAGAATGAATAAAGAAATTCAGCCACAGTATACTGTTCGACTACAAAACTCGGCGCAGCCTGAATATCATTGAAAAATATTAATGTTGGTAAATTCGGGAGGAAGCCTTACCCAGCTGATAAACTACAAAACAAGTGAAATCTTATATAATTTAGAGCAATTTATTTTGTCAGTTAAAGTAGTCTAAATCAACAAAAAATATGTTAAGCTTTTCTTTCTAGGTATTAAGCAATTTTTATTGAGCTTGATGCCGTATTTTGTAAAAAAAGTTCGCTTTATAGGGGTATTCAAGTGTGGGAAATGGATATGAATTTTTGGAAAAATTATTTATACCCAGTTCTTCGCAGAAATTTCTCTAAAAGTCCACCACTATTTTACGGCGTTTCATCGTGGGAATTGAAAATGGGGAAAGAAGACGTCCAGACTGTAGCACTTGACTTAGCAAAAAATACCCTGCTGATGTGTCCGAAGAGATTTTGGCCGAGTTCAACAAAGCACGCCAGTCGCTCCTCTTCTGGGTTCCGGGTTGAACACTTTCAGAGGTGAAGCGTTGGTGTCCATGCGAAAGACGTGGCCAAGCACCCAGTTGTTCTTTCGGGCTGGCTGAAATCCAACTACTCTTCGGCGGTGGGACTTAATTAGCGGGAGATGTGGTTCCACTACTCGCGTATGTCGGTTGGTTGGAGAGTGCCCTCTGAGACAAGGTGTGAGAGTCGAGTTGCGAATGCATTGGCTGTCTCTTGTGACTGCAGCTTTTCGACGTTAAGCTTTCCTTGTATTTTTTGACGCACATTTTTTGCTGCACAGAGGCGCGCGCGTATC